TCAAAAAGTCAAACATATAAAAATAATTCAATTTTTTGTAAGCATAAATTTTATTATTTCGATTATTGAATGCGCGCTCTTGAAAATATAAATAATGTTAAAAGCACCAGAGCACGATAAAGCATGATGGATACAGCATGATGGATATCGACGAACGTCTTATACAATGAACGACCAACTCGAATCCGTGCGACAAAAAATTACGAAGACCGAGGGAGAGATAGACCGCATTAACGGTCTTCCCGCTGATAACTCAGAGCGGGTGACACTCCTCCCCGCCCTTCCCTCTCTCTATGCTAACCTCGCTGAACTACGAAAAGAAAAAAATTTTCTGTTGGAAGAGTCGAAAAGAGGTAACGACTTTGTGACTCGGGCGTTGGGGACATAGAGTAGTGTGTACAGGGTTGTAAATTTAGTTATGGAGTGAGCTTCGTATAATTTTAATTTTTGTTCCGTTATTGCATTCAGAGAGCGAGTGAGCATTGAAGAGACCTTGTATTGATAAAACTGCTACCATTTGCCAGAAACTAAATCGACCTATTATTAACCTTTTCATATCTTTCATATCTGATTTATTCTTACGATACAGTTCCATCGATTGCAGTAGACTTCAGTGAAATTTCTCAGAAAACATCCTTGATACAGTACATTGTTCACTCACAGTATATGAATATCTTATTCTCACACTGATCTCATTCTCCCCCATCTCCAGTATGTGATTCTCAATGCAAAGCACTTTGTGCAGCTGCACAAATTCACTCACCAAGCAAATATGGCAAGAAGCCTGAAAGTGATGTAAATATATGCCACCACCAGCCTGACAGTTGCACAGATATACCTGTTCAATTTTACCACAAAGTGTTTGCCAACTTTCTGGAACTATGGAGAAACCAGGATGACTATGGCATTACAGAAGAGAAGAAGAATATCCTAGAACTTGCTTCATCACTCTCGACACCTTTAAAAGATGAAGAAAAGCATGCACAGATTTTTCGGAATTGGCTCACCTATAATGACCTAGAAAGTTACATTTACAAAACACCTAAGATAGAGTCAGATGGCACACATTTTGGCTGTTACAATCAACAATGTTTTCTTCTTGTAAACACAGAAGTGAAAACAGACTATGGCACAACATGCAGGGCCTATCATCAGAGTACAGCTACTACAACCAATGAATTGGTTCATCAAAATCGGGATAAGATCATTTCACAGACTAAGACATGTTTTCCATCCTCCCTATTGATTCTAGAAGGTTTGTATATTTTCTTTATATGTTCACACTTGTCAGTTTTCTTTTTATTAAGCTGACTTTTATATTACATATTCAGGAGTTAACTTGACAATTTGTGGTGCAGTCTTCTCAGATGTCTACTGTGTTGACAAGTTCATTATTATTCCATTTGATGCTGCAAGCTATAATGACCAAATTGCTTCAGATACTGCATGTACACTGCAAGCTTTAAAGATTTGTGTGAAGGAATTATCTACATATTTAATAGTAATTGAAGATCGGGTTCAAGACTTGGGAGATAACATTGACAACATATGCATTTTCACTGTAATCAACCAATTGGATGGGAGGCCTACATGTCCATATATTCCGCCTTCAAATGTTTAAGTCTTAATATTAATACATAGTAATGTTACAAATTGATTATAATTGATATTAATATACTTACAATCCTGCAAGCAGGTCACTAACCACTTGGACAACCTCTTCATCCTCACTATCTACATGTGTTGGATTGTTGATTTGAGGCATGTTCTTTGCAATGACATTACCTTGCAACCCTTTGCATGAATCCATAAACTCATCAATCATACCCTGAACTACTTCAGAGCTCCACATCATGGACAAAGTTGTTCCTCTTCAACAATGTCTGTATCTCCTCTGGCAGTATGTTGGCATAATTGTCAACCCTCTTTGTAAGATCAAATATTCCACAAGCTAGTGGATGATCGGGTTTGACTTTTGATATGTCCAGTGATTTAAGCTCCTTCATGACTGCCCTGTATATGTAGACTCTCTTGTCTTCCCTTGGACAACTACTTCGCTTGGTTGCAGCCTCCTGGAAATTTCTCAGTATCAGGTTAAAATCAAGTTGGATAAGCCAATAAACAAACTCCAGGACAATTTACTTACACAGTATTTTATAATCCTATCTATATTCATTATCATATGAATAATTGTTCTATTTCTTATGCTTTCATTTGCTAGATGCTATAGAGATTTTCTATTCAGTCGGTCAATCACAATAGATGTTGCAGAAAGCATAGAGTACTTACTTGGCATCTTTCCCTATCTAAGGCAATGGTAGATTTCCCCCGAGAAAGGCGTAGACCCCAACAATGAACGTGCACGTGTCGGGCATTACCGACTGGTCCTGCTGGAGCGATTAAACACAACATTGATAAACAACATGTTTAGACTATTGACATGTGACGCACATAACACTCAAAAAGCGGACTTGTGACATTTTCGAAATGGCACGCTATTAATCTTAAAGTTTTGGTTTTGGGATTCGTTTTTTGTTTGTAAAAGTTCTCCCCCGAATAAGTCACCAATTTTAAATATTTATGAATCGTAAATTAAAAAAAGGAGAAATAAAAAAGAGCGTGACCGATTGTATTACCAGCAAAATTTTGATTTAAGGAATAAACTTACCACAATAATAATCGAAAGTGCAAGAAGAACAAGGAGTTAAGTAAACTCCTCAATAACTTTTTTATGTCTTAATTCGCAAAGTCTAACAATATTTATTTGCTTAAATATTTGAGCTTGTAGTTCTAATTTTTCTTTCTCTAATTTTAGGTTTTTGTAAATTTTCAAGTAAAAATGTGGGTGAAATTGTAGACTTGAAATAGTTGGTTTGTCTATCATGAAGTATGCAAATTGAAAGCAAAACGTACTTCAAACAAAAATCGAGTTTCGCATTATTACGTGTAATCATTACTTGTATTACCTAACCCAAATTCTTAATACCGGTGCATAGACTGTGACATTACAAGCCATAACAAATACCAGCGTGTATGGTTTACCACCAAGAACCTCTGGTGCAACAAATGGAATTGAAAGCCCGTAATCGGTGAGACCGCGTTGTTTTCTCTACTCTCAATGATCATACCAGTCGCGTGTAAGTCTCTCAAGCTATTGGCTATCTTTAAAAAAACTGTAGCTTACTAGTCCACAGACTTTTACGCAAGAAGAAGTCAAATTCCCAAGATCGGCATAATCCATAACCAGGATATGTTTGCCTGTAGCCTTCAAGCGTGATACACCCAAAATACACATCTTTTGTATCATCAAACTCTGGATTTTCAAAACCACCTGCCCACACTTAACTGCCATAAGAGAAAGAACAAGAAATTAAGAATTTTCACGTGAAACTGAAAGTCTGCATTTGAGACTCACCTCTTGCAAAAAATCGTCTTCAATGCCATTTCGATCATAAAGAAGTTTGACTTCCCACAACACGCCTACCGTCATCCCCAAAATCTACTCCCGAATATTTCCATCTATCCAATTCGCAGCATAGATAATTCCTTTCTAATCTCTACTAAATTATCGAGACGATTAGGTTGAAGACAAATAAAGTCGGCTTTAATAGTCGTCAAATCTTCCATTAATTCCTTTCGATCACATTCATTACACCAAAAGTCTTTGTTCGAAAAGATCTTTCCGCAGATAAAGCATATGCGCCCGTGGCCTCAATACGCGATATTCCAAAAAGTGTTAGTTTTCTACTGTAGCTGCTGCTTTTGCACAGTAAATATGCTTCTTCCTGCAGCTAGTTCTCCAAACCAAAAGATAGGCAAGTTATATCAAACATAGCATCAATCAAAGTCTGTCGAGATTTAACCATATAAGTTTTTCCTCGAATTGATCGCTCTCATACTCAGGGAAAACCTTGAGAAATCTCTTGCTTTTTACCAGACTCATTGTTATAGACTCCCTTGAAAGACCCATCAAGCCAATCCGCATAATATAACGTCCCGAAATCCCAGCCCATCCCGCTCGTTGCCTTTGCAAATGATGACGTTATCAAAGTAAGTGTTGGTATAGGGGAGGGGGTACTGTAATTCACTAAAGACGACATGCACACACCATTTCAATGATATTCAAAACGTCATTGTTCAAACACGCGCCAGAAACTATTAGTGTATACCCTCCCCTGAAATCCGACTTGGAAACTCCCCAAGGTTTCAGTTTTGGTTGCCAGTTTGGTATAAACTTTTGAAGACCATATTGGCTCGCTTCGATTGCCTCTGCGCATTCCTTCAGCCAATTGAAAGAAAGGTTATTATATAATCGAACTATAATTCACAGTACCAAATATCAAATCAAGTACCTCTTTCAAAAAGTTTCCATTATCGTTGTCGGGAAAAGTTTGGCGATTACACGGCAGGGTATCCAATTGTGAATGATATATTCGCCATCTGCATCATTTGTATTATACTTATATTGACCGTCAACAAAATCAGCTGCGAAAATACTGCCAAAGGATCCTTTGAGATTTCAATCATGTTTTGAAGCCGATTCCAGGGAATCTATCGGAGACAATGGTATCCACGCCAGTTTTTATTATATCCATTCCGCATATGATTGTATCATATTCTGAATTTCCACTTCGATCATTTGCTTCCAGTCACAGTCTTTGCACCAAGCATTGTCGTCTGGGTATGACAAGCGCGACGACTCACAAGGGCCAATTCTCCTATCGAATCAAGTCTTGATAAACCAAAAACTCTTGCCTTTGTAGTGTGCGAAAGATTTCCGCACCATTATTTCAGAAATGGCGCAAGTAAAGGGTAAAGGAGAAAGGAAAGATAGCAGTCATATACACACTTCTTGTAGCATGGTCTTATCGGCATTGTTTTGATTGGTTACAGCTGATACTTTCATAGATTTTCTGTCGTCAAACTCAGTTTTGACCCGAATACATTCAGCCGTGTAAAGCTTGCCAACCTTTCGTATAGGAATCCTTGATAATCATATCGTAATCAACATTGCCACTGGTCCAACTGTCACGCAGTCCATTGCGTTCACACTACTCTGCCGTTTCAGGGAGAGCCTGGCCACATATAGCACACAATTGGTTGCTACCAATGCCAAAGCTCCAGTAGGCTCGATTTGTGTTATACCAAGTATAGGCAATCGCAGCGGATTCTCGAATTCGGCACCAGCCTTCAGCTAAATAACAATCGAAGTATAGATCGTGGCGAAAAACTTTATCAGTTCAGTCTTTTACTTTTTGTCGAAAAGAGTAAGCGCTTTCACAATCTTTTTTGTTTGCAGAAAATAACTGCCTAACATTAAGCGTTGCCGCACAGATTTGCCTAAATTTTCAGCCCTTATTCAGCATACTTTTTCTCCTACATTTTTAGCATGGTTTATTTTTTGTCCATAAGTTATTCCTTGGCAAGAATTTAAATGGCTGGCTAATTCACTCGAACAAATAATTAAATAACAAAGTTGTAAATTTTCTCTTATTTCAGAAGGGATTTCAATAACTTTGGTTTGGTAATCTTTTTTTTTTAGACTTTGGTAGTTTTCTATGCAGCACAATATTACGATCTTCGCCTTCACAACCCCACCCGCCATATCCAATCTGCTGCGTAGATGGACAGGCAATCCACCTTCTCAACGTCAAGGCGACCGTTATCCTGAATTGGAATGATGGCAAGTTTCTACTTGTTAAAAGATCCAGGAGACGACAGCGCGAAAACGGCCACCGATACAACACCGATATTATATTGGACACATTAGATAACTTACTAGGAGATGATCAGATCAGGGTCAGTTTCTACTGTGGCGTCAAGCAGGTACAGCTTGTATATTCCGTCTCTGACTTGCATTACGCCTTATATATTGAGACTGCAAAATAAAAGATGGGGTCGTTAATAAATAATGTCTTGGGCGAGTGACATTGCAAACAAAGACTATTCAGCAAACTTACATGGATATGAAACACCTTTTGATTATTCGCTCTTTACAATCGGTTGGACAAACAGTATCATCACAATTATCATAATTGCCATCGTAATCATCACTGAATCTGTTTCGACACTTTCAGGTTGAGGTTCTGATTCTGTCGTACTGGACACGAAGTCATTAAGCATTTGGCGAGAGCCCGTTTGTTTATACATCCACCATATTAATATATGCCATGCTCCACGTAAACACGCTTGAATGTCGACGCTCTATGGATAAGCTACAATAACAGATAGTAAGTCAGCAATACATAATGCTTTGGTATGCAAAAAGTGTAAACCGTCATACTGCATTTCTGTTTCTACCTTTTTTTTTTCCTGGACAGTCTGCCAGTAATGGTCTGATTCCAAGTCGTTGAGCGTGAGCTTTTTTCGAGACAAAAACTTCAATTCGAGAAACTTATATTTATTCGTACTCAATTCGTGTCATTAGGTGAAAATACTTACAGATAACTGTCCAATAATCTCTTGGGTCATTATAATTTGCAAAATGACACACCATCATGACATACTCTCGTTCAGCTTCCGTTTTCTGTGCATAAGAATATTTAAATTTTTCATAGAATCGTGCAGGATGGAGTTGGCTCTTCTTTTGTGAAAGTAAACCCATAATGTGTCGAGACATTCACTGGACGCGTACATGGTCAAGAATTTTGTAACACATGTTTTTTGGGTTACACGTGTCGATATGGATATCTCCCTCTGGCTATTACTATCTACTACCCTTACTTACCATCTTTCTTTGACTCAAACAGTATTGTTCCAATATTAAGTTCTTCTCACAGGTTGTGTGGCAGAGATTACCAATTCTTTGTGCTGAATGGTGCTGACAGGTTTGCCGGACGCGTTGGTCCTATGGACCATAATAATAATAATTGGATACTGCAGATTTTTTTATCAAACAGTTGAAAGAATGAAACATATTGAGTATTGTCATTACAAGCCGCTAGATTAAACAAATACTATAATAATAACTTTGATTTAAAGAAATGTCCATGATGCTCATAGGTAATACGAAATTATTTGTAAAGAGACTTTTCTCTTTGACAAATAGTGTATAGGATTAAAATTGTATATAGAACTATCTATATGAAGAATAATGAGTATAATGGCTCCATCGAAATGATTGCGAGAGAAAAGTTTGCTGAGTTGCGTGAAGCGTTTCAAGTTTTCTCTAGATCTGAGCAAGATATACTTTAATAGCTCAACTGAAAGCAATGGATGATGGAAAAAAGAAACGCGTACTAATAAGAGAACGTAAGATCGCAATACCCCTCTTTGCCAGCAAACGTATCTCAATACGTTAGAAATTGGCCGCACTCACTTCGAAAACGTCAAAAATTACGTGGAGACAAATGGTATACACGTAATACCACACGTTCACGATAATGCAAACAGAGTACCGCGATGGAGACCAAGATAAAAATGCGTGAAAAAATTTTCGAAAACTATGCTGAAATTCATAGACTACCAAGTCCCGGTAGAAACTTAACCTGAATTACTCAATCCTTATAATACTCTTTACAAACCGGTCTATCGCGATTTTATCGCAGGTCTTGATGACAATATCACGTTGAAAATTGTTAAAATACGATGCATTTCGCAAGTTATGGCACCAATTATTAGTCCAAAAACATATTTATATAATACTTGTCAACGATTTCGGAACGGCTTACAGTACAGTGCTCGCAAGGAAGAGGAAGCAAAAGATTTTCCTGAGAAAAACAACTGGTTGGGGCTAAATTAAAGATATTATTACAACTAAAATACGAACTAGCAGAAATTCGTAGATGAGCATCTTGTAACGAGGGATAAAAATAATTATTGCTACTGCTCATTACAGCTACGATTAAGCACAAAATGTTCACGAATCAACAGGTAAGTAAGATCTATTATCTAGTCCGCGTAAAGTGCATTTATCTGGTATTCAAGACGAAGCAATGCGCGAGCAAATTAATAATGTTCTCGATGAAATAAGTAAAGGCCCAATAGCATGGTATTCGATAGAATAAAGGTGAAAGATGATTCGTGATAATGCTACTATCAGGACCAAACTGATACATCGGCAGTGCAGCGTGTCAAGAAAAAGACCGAATCGGGACAAAATTCTTGACATTTAGTTTCCTTGATTTATCGATAAAGAGATATAAGCAGTCGTAGTTTCCCTAGAATCGGCATCTTCAGCATATTTCAATATTCATATTTAATAATTGTTTTTATAATCCTTTGCAATTAGAACAGTATGGCTGGCAAAAGTGTAGAATGCTTTCCCGTATCAGCAGTATATACCAAGTCGAACTTGCATGGAATCCTTGATATTATAACGCTATTCTATTCCCCGACCCATAAGCTTTCGAAATTAATCCACCGAAAATAATAGATAGCGTATACAAGACCGATCTAGCATTGTGAGCATTTGAAAACCAACGTTAAGGTTTAGCACGAGTAGAGGTAGTCAAAGGCCTCGTTTGAGATACACGAACACTCTCCCTTGTATATTGATCCGACAGTATATCTAGTAATTTGCAGTTCTTATGAAAGTATCGGATTAAGGATTTCATACGTTTTACCGATACTTTTGTCCAGTGAGTGTAGTAAGGCTACTCTCACCATCTCACATATATTAACATGCCTTTGTTTTCTTGATCTATTAGTCTTATGACACCTGAAGTAATAATTTGAACTTAAGAACTTACGTAAAAGTTATTAGGTACAGTAGATGTTCCACTAACAACTATTTGTTTGTTTATTATCGCCATATTATGAGGGGATTGACTCGCACGAAATAGAATTTGTTGAAGGAGTCACTCGTTAGTATAAATTAGGTCGGCGACTGATGCATATGGGATGATAAGGCTGAGATTAATCAAGCTGACTTGAGTATTTAAGATTCATTTTTCACTTAGCCTACGTGTTGAGAGGGTGTACATAGCTGTCATTATTGTTGTACCTCAGTTGGGGACCTGTCTCAGTTCTGGACTGAGACAACTGAGTTCTGGACTGAATGACTGGGTTCCGAACTGAGACAGGTCCCAAACTCAGACACAACAGACCTAATCCACTCGCTAAAGGATCGATGTCGCTTAGTGAATGGCCGAATCATTGCTATTGATATTAACATGGAGCACCGATGAAGTGGTGATGCCCAAAATGGTCTGAGAGAAAGCTTCGGTGCAGTGACTTTGTGCAGTATATGCGGAAAGAAGATCCAGATCGGGCAAGTACTGGATACACAACGGTTGCTTGCACATGTTTCGTTTATTTGCCTCCTAATATATTGATCTCTATGCTTTTCTTCATGACAGAAAAATAATTATTGACATACGAGTGATTTGATTATGTTGTCACAAATGTCAATAGAATTGCAAAGCTGTAGATTGTCAGCGACTGGTTTTAGCCTTGAACGAGATTTCGGTGCTAGCTAATCTTGTAGACGTGACAAGAATGATTAAAATCCCTATTAAGAGAATTGAAAGGTAGAATTACGACTCGTTACGATCGTGCACATACAAGACGATGTACACCTTTAGCAGGTGTAACTCATAAAGGAACGCAAAACTCCATATAAGATGAAACATTAATGGGATTATGTTCAATTACGTCAACATAGGCCCGATACGGATAAATTTGTAATTTCCTAATTTGTGTATTACCCACGGGACCGGAACACAAACTCCATACTAATACAACAGAGCAATTGCGTTATTGATACCAATGCAAATGATGAAAAATTCGGTATTTCGCAAGTCGTCGGCGGGCTTGTTATCGACATACGCTAGCAGATACAGTTTACCTCTGCTGAGCTCAACTAATCATAATTGTTTTCACCAAGGACGATATCAAGCAGCACGACGTTATGCGACAACCACAAATTATAACATTCCAATCACACTTGTACGGAAGAATAAGATAGCTTACCGTCTGAAAGCTTTATTTTTGGCACTTGTTCCAATAGTAACATTTGGCCTAGGCACTTGGCAGATACAGAGACTGCGCTGGAAAGTAGGATTAATAGAATTATGCGAAGAGCGATTATCTACTCCTCCCATTACGCTTCCCAAGAAGTTTAAGTAGGTAAATTAGTTTCAAGAAAAAGATCCTACCACAGATCAGTTCATACGGTTGGAATAACTAATACAACGGATGCTACGCTAGTCGAAAACTCGTTGATGACCTGTATTACAGACGCGTCAACGTCACTGGTAGGTTCCAACACGATAAAGAAATGCTCGTTGGGCTTCGTTCGCGCTTTAATCAACCGGGATATAATGTTATTACTCCTCTTGAACGGGATGATGGGTAAGTGATTTCATCGTTCATCTGTGTAATTTCTTAAAAGGGGATAACTGGAAAATGTATACATATAATTTTTGCTGATATATCAATCAGATCATCAGTTTTGGTAAACAGAGGATGGATATCTCGAGATAAAGCCGATCCGTCAACGAGACCGAATAGTCTAGTATGTATATAAAGATTGCGTGAGTTTAATCATCAAAAAAGTCTGTGTTGATTCTCCTAAATTTAATTACAGCAGGAGGGAATAGTTACGATAGATGGAATGGTAAAGAATGGCGAAAAGGTGAATATCAAACAAACTAGATACGTTGCAGCGCCGAGTACTAGTTCAAAGATATGAACATTGATGATATAATCGTCTTTGACAGAGAGGTATTTTTGTACCAATGAACAAAGTAGAAGAAAACGAGTGGCTCTGGGCCGATATTGACACAATGGCCGAGAGAACAAACGCTCTGCCTATACTCGTGGAGAAATCGTTAGGTGACTATTCTATTCCAAGATTCATCTGTTTGTCCAGCACGAACTACTTGAGATCGACTAGACTGTTCTTTCCGTGTTCGCTTTTGCATGTAAAGATGTCTCTCCGTATGTTGTCAACAAACTCATCGACGAGGGGGATCCGGTTGGAAAGACACCTGCAGTAGAGCTACGAAATACCCATACGCAGTATGCCGTTACATGGTGAGTTGAGTTGCATCAATACATTTGTTGTTTCCCCTATTTTATTTGAACCATGTTTCTCTTACAAATTACATTAGGTATTCTCTATCTGCCTTGACTAGTGTAATGTTCTTTATGTACATTAAGAAGCCAAGAACCGGAACTTTGAGAAAACATTTCCTACAAGGATAAAATTTCGATTAAAAAGAACAATGATCTGGTATCAGGAATTGAATAGATTGGATCGATTGAATTGTGTTTTAACTATTAATAACGAGAGGCTTAGTGAGACCACATGTCGTAAAGTAGCCGAGTTTCTCAACGTAAAGAACAAAAATATTTTGTAATATTTATATTCGATACTATACGCTAGGTTCCCCTAAATTCCTCCAATCAAAGCATTCTAAGGATTCTATGAAGAGTTGAGACCAAACTTCCGCCGCCTTGACGCACTAATGCAGGGCTGGGTTTAGTGCAAAGGGCGGAAGAGAGCAATCACTGTATAGCCTCCAAGAATAAATATCGCTTCAGAGCGCATAAAAGCGGCAGCAAACGTCGCATACACGTATTCCTTGCTTATTTTCACGCAATGTTCAGCCACGAGCCACGCTCATCTCCTTTGTTTCATGGCAAGCGAGACCTGCCAGCCCATCATCTAGCGAGCGCAGACCACGAAATAGGCCTCTAGGTAGACCTACTTTCTTTCCACTCTCGTAAAGAAACGCATAAAACCCTTAAAAATGAAACAGAAACAATAATGACATCAATAAGTTCTCACACATTCATAAACGCCGTAATCACCAAATAATGTCCAATCGCATTGATTTTCTATGTTCCCAAAGGAATAAAGGAATGCGAATTGCCTTGTGACCCCCCAACATCCGTAAGAGGTTAAACATAATCGGCAATTTGGTAGGGAAACACTGTTGACTCAATTTTCTCGCCAAATTAAACCTCGCATATAAACCTTGAATATTACTTTTCTTCCTTGCCGAACCTTTCCTACTATTCTTACTTGAAGAGATTGAGATATTAATAACAAATGAGCTATAACCCGGCGAATCTAATTCAAACCACTACACTTCCAAGCAACACACCGCACCTTCAGTTCGCTCCAACAAGGTATATAGTACCACCGACTGGTCAGTATGTACCGACAAACTTGGTGCAAGCAATAGGAAATGGGCAAAGAATCCCTCTGCCAAATGGTGTCCTGCCACAAAGGCTTTCGAATCCTCACACTCAGTTTGCAAGTCAAAGGTAAGTCAGGTCAGGCAGTCCTTATTATCGTTTATCGAGGTCTATAACAGCCTTGTTGGGAGGGAGAGTTGCTTTTAAAGCTTGTGTCTTGGTAGTTACATTTTATGATCGAGAGAACATTTGTTCGTTTTGGAGTTGTTGCCCCCAAATACTGACTATGTTGCTGGTTTTTTTAGGGTGCAACTCTGGAATGCATTTATGAAAGTAATAAGTTGGGCCGAGCAATTGTCAGAGCAGGTATATGAGGATAAAAGAGAACGGTGGAAGAGGGGGAAGAGGAGTGGTAAAGTAATGATGAGAAGGAAGAGTAACCAAAGTCGGGACGATACTTGTCCAAACGGGCATTTGTTTCTGCGAATACGTCGATACTAACTACACTTTATCGATGATAGAATATTCCGAATAATGCAAATAAAAGTGAAATAGACTACTGGACAACTCCTATTAAAAATTTCTTTGCCGAAGATACAAGATTACGATATATTTTTTTAAATTCACATACACAGAAACATGACACATATGGTAAGTTGATGCGAAAAACATGAAAATTTACAAAGCCATCAATCATCTGTGGCAAATCTTTGTCTCTGTCTTATGTTTTCTCATATTTGTTGGTCTTGCAATTCGTTGTTTTCACTTTACTAATTGACTTTTCTTTCTTGTTTACGTTTTTATCAATTTACAGATTTAAAATACCATAATTTAGCACATTTCTTTCGTAGATTCTATATATCGGACGTAATAAACGTGCGATTAGTACCTGGATATCCAGATGAGAGATCGTTTTTTCAAGATATGACATTACGATTTCAAAAAGCAACATTTACATACCATTATAAAGATGGATCACAAGTAAGAGAACCATCATTAGCTTATTCTTTGTAGTTTTGCCTTTGATTTCTTTTTCTCGTTTGTAGGGTAGTCTGACTAAACCATCTCTCTTTCGTTAGGTTGTTCATAGCGGTACATTAGCCGTAAAATTCAATAATTTTGTGAGAATGTCTTCATTTGAGTTTAAGACAGACAAATGTATAGAATATTTACCGCGGGATCCAAAGACACGAGAAGTTAAAGATTGTAGAAAAGAAAGTGGACAGAGTATAGAACCGTACGGGATACCAAAACTAGTTACGGAATATTTAGAGGTAAATTTGTTGCCCAATATTAACATACGAGAAGCGATGACATTGTTTAATCTTGTACTGATTAGTAATTCAATCGTTTCTCAGGTATATAGCATTACATTATTACTCGCACAAAAGTATGGAGGGATTGGTCCATCGGAGCCATTAAGTAAGTGTTTATCATGACAATCGTAATAGACATGACTTTAGAGATATACATGTCATTACTGTGTCTTTCCTCCCCTCCTATCGTCCTTCTTCACGACTAATTAATTTGATGCCTTTCTGTTAGAATCATGGCGAACCACAAACAACAGGCCAGCAATGTCACCAATGTTGCAAAGCCCATCACCACCGAATATAAAAGATGGCGACATTAAGAACGAACACATATCTATGGGAATAACAGGTAATGATGTACAAGCCCCAACACCACAACCAACACCCTCTCCATCGGGAACAAATGCTGGACAGATTTCAATGAATAAATCAGTAAAGTCACCTGCAGCACCAGGTAAGTCAATTCAAACGGTGGAGAGTAGAAATCAGGTGAAGGGTTGGTGTAGGGGTTGGCAGGGGGGGTCATGGGAAATGGTAGATCAAGTGTAGGGGAGCGCCTCTGATTTAAAATGACTACATTCGTGTTGATTATTATATTGTTTTTCTTTTTCCTTTTTAGAAAAACGTCACAACGACGGAAGTGGAACTCCGACGATTCAAAAGAAACGCCGTACTACAAGTGCCAATGGGCCAAAGTCTTCACCGAGAAAGCAATAATGTCTATCCTAATATTCCCCCACAATCTCTCAATCTCTCAATCTCTCAATCTCTCAATCTCTCAATCTCAATCTCTCAATCAATCAGTCTCTTCCATTCCTTTACCGTTCAACCCCATCTTCTTCCTTCTCCTCTTCCTCCTTCCCACCACACTCTCTTAATCCCATTCAAGGACACCAGCAGAACGCTACAGTAACGTGACTGCATGCACGTGCTGTGAGAACTTATCCAATTGCAAACACCTCTATAAATAAAATCACAAAGGGTTTATTTTTCTTTATATGGTGTTTGAACCAGCTTTCCCTATCGCTATTATAATTAGGTTTCCACTCCTTATTCGGAAAGCGCAAAATTTATCGCGTTATCGCGTGTGTTGTGATGTTGGGATTTGTTTTTCTCCAAGAAAGTTTTGTATGTATGCCTCATTCTGGCCGCCCAACTATATTAATTAGAACTATTTACCTGTTTTGTTATTATTCTTAAGAGTCATATTCCTTCTTTTTTATTTTTTCCCTCCTCCAAATGAAAGCAAGAAATTTTCATGTAAAAAAATTTCCCTCCCCCCCCTTTTTTTAAACGAAAACTTATGTGGTTTTAATATATGTCACTTATTCTGATGCATTGGAAACAAGCAAAGAACGTGATTATTATATTATCATTATATGAACTAGAGAAATAATGTTAGAATGATTGCGCGTTTTCGTTATGCTTTTTTTGGTTGACGAAACGATCAAATTATTTTATTTTCTGTACAGACATTCACGTAATTTGTTTTTTTTTGTTATCGAAAATGATAAGTAAAAACTTTATATTAAGGATTGATTCCTAACAGGCAAAATATTTGGAGGGAATTTTTTTTTGATCTGGCCAATTTGAACATGGATTTTTTACCCTTGGTAGTTGCCTTTATAACAACCAGAAAAAGGTTGCTGATGGTGTTTTTCGCGTTGTTTCTCTTAAAGAAGACACCCCATCACTCCACCCCACCCACTTTTCAGTTGTATAAGTGGGATGCTTCTCTCCCTACCAAAGGACTTTCGCATATCTGCATTCTACACGTGCAGATCTTCCTGATAACATAACACACCAATTGACTACCCGCTGACAGTATCACGATGGAAACTTGCCCCACACACAAACCGTTTGCGTTCGATTTATTATTATTATTATTAAAATTTTTGTATTTAGAATTCGTTCAGACTGTATTATCATGAAGGGTATTTTATCATCATTCTCTGTATGCTTGCTGTAATCCTTGACTTATGTATTATTGATTAAGTATAGTAGCTAGTTCTTTCTTTTCTTTTCTTTTCTTTTTTTTTTTTTCTTTTTTCGTTTTTTTTTTCGGTTCGTCTTAGAATTTCTCGACAATTGAAAGAAGGCGAAAATACATTTATAAAAAGGAAAGGAACAAGTAAAGTGATAAGCATATTAGAGAAAAACTCAATAAACGTTAAATAACTATCAATGAATTGACATTCGAGCAATTTTTACAGTATATTCGTTCGTCAATTATCCGTAAAACGACGCAAGGTATATTTTAAGTTAAAAGCTCCTTCCAACTTACAAACGTGTAAAAATCCCTCTTCTTTAGTCTTCCAACCTACGGGGCCGTACGTCGTTGCGGATAGGAATTTTTAAACCTTGTTTGGCGAATGCTTTCGAAAGTTCCGTCGACTCTGATGGAAAGTAGCATGTTTTTAGAGTGAATTTGTAGAGGAAAAGTCAAAGATTAACAGAATATTGGATATCTGTACCTGTCATTCCCGGGAACTTCTTTGCGGAATAGACTGTGAATGGCGAAGAGAATGTGGTGGTGAGGATAACGGCTCGAGTATCAACCAATCGGTGGTCTTCACTAAGTAAAGCAAAAGGAGCAGAGCGTTGGTTGGTTGGTTGGTTGGTTGGTTGGTTTCATTCAATCGTTTAGATATGTCAATTCACGCCAAATATGCACATATATATATATATATATATCACTTTTCACATCTTCCTTTTCAACCTTTCTGACGTCTTCTAATCGCACTCCACGGTCCCTCCCACATCATTTACAATACTTACTTTCCCAATTTCATCAAGGAGAATTTTAGCGTATACTTTCCCTCCGTGCGTATGGATAGGTCTGGGAAGCAGAAATAGCAACCCTGCTCATTCTGAGTGTTTTTTAATATGGCCGGCGAAGAGACAAGAGAACCCATCAGTACACGAGTAGTCTTTGGTGGACTGCTAATCACATTTCGCTCTTCCCGGCCATCCTCTGACCACAGGGTTACATGGAGAACAAAGAAGGGATTCTGGAGCATGCTAAGAGAGTAGAGTTTGATATATGATCAATTCGTGTAAAAAAAATGTGCAAGGTAGGTAAGAGAACGTGATAAGAATTAACGATAAATGTCCTACTAATGTTATAATACACGACCAAAGTGACCTTAACCACCCACGATCAATTCACTCTTTTATATAGCAAAGGGGAAAATCCAAACAAACGCACATCGTGGGACCTAAAAGTTGCTCCTCACCCGCTCCATTGTTTCTCACCTTCCCTCTCGCTACATATACCTTGTATCCAAATTACCCTTCTCGTCATTAATGATTAGTTGCACTATCGGAGGAGGATCGACCGGCCGCCGATCTTTCTCACCGAATCCACACATGCGTGCGCGTAGTGGTTGCTGACAAACAACTAATCGATAGATTCTGAAAATGCATAGACACGTTTTGGGACGAGGAAAGTATTAGCGGGTTAGTATAAAGATGAATACTATCATATCATTATCATAGCGAGTCTAAAAATACATGCATCACAGAGCAGCTTGCGAATAATGGGAATAAGCGTGTCAAGCTACATGAACGAGTTAACGAATGGGTACCAAAGTGCAATTACGTGTCTTTGGGAATCCATTGTTTAGCAAAGGATGAGAAGACGTAAAGTCAACATTAAATATCAGATCACCTCAGGGAAATAACGTTGGGATCGGAGAGATGATTGCAGTGGCCCCAACAGTAGATCGACTAGTCTCTTGCAATTTTTATCACAAGCTGCCGGAGCTCACTAACTTTCATTTTTTAGAATTTTTTTTTTTCGTCGTCTCCTGTCCTTACCTTACTTGATATCCAATATTCGTCATTAATAATCCCTCCAAACACTTACACTTGGTTATAAATTGTACCCATTCTTTTTTTTCTTCTTATTGCCATGCCATGCACTATGCCTACACGTGTTTTTCTCCACATCCGATTCAATTCTAATCTTGTACGTTTCCAACCCCCCTGTTATCTCCTACCTTTTATCCTCATCCTCTTGAGGAGCATCAAAAATTCCAAATTTTTCTATTCTGAATCTTTTAGCAGGCGGTCCCGAAGAAGCTGAAGGACCAGAGGCGGGATTTTTGTTAGGCAATGTGCTCCTTGCCTTGGGTTCTCTCTTCCCATTATCAGCCGTTCCTTTTGATTCGTTCGATGTAGTATTGCTATTCCCCGATGTCGATTGCCCCCTTGTCTGTCTCGGTTTCTCTTCGTCGTGTCTTGTGGCTATCGAAGGAGAGAGCTGTTGATGTTGTTGAGGTTGTTGAGGGTGAAGAGGAAGACCGGGAGGTAAAGATGGATATGTCATATAGTGAGCGTGCGGTGGCGGATGGTGATATTCGTAATAGTGTGAATACACATGCGGTACGTTATGATAGTACCCTTCTGGAGGAGGATAGTCTGAACGAGCACTAGGGGGGAAATGTTCTGACTGGTGCGAAGTTTGAGTTGTTGGGGGAGGTATGGCACTGTGCGGATGGTACATTTGTGAAAATTAATCGAAGAATGCGTAAAGGAACGTAGCTGAATGTCGACGGTGTTAGAGGAAGGAAATAGTGGAGAGAAAGAAAATTTCCTTGATATTTCTTTTTTTTCCTTTGACTTTTTGGTTCGGAAGCAACGAGGAGTGAAACGCCAGATTGAAGAAAGATATTTATTAATATCATGTGATATGGTTGAAACCTGGCAAGCTAAGATTGCTGTGTGACCTCCCCATTGAAGTTGGGGAATAAAATCACAATCTATTACTATAATAGATATCAATTATCACAGCCCCAATAACATATATTTTGTCACTAATTCTATTTATACTTGTGCCTGGAAATGTTTTCTATAACGCTCACTCTCGTATTCAAGCTCCTCCTCCTCCTCCCCCACCACTTCCACCACCACTTCCACCACCACTTCCACCACCTCCACCACGACGCTCGCTGCCGTAATTACCAGGTGATTAGAGCCTGCCAGTTACCAAAGTCGGGTGACAAGTGGGCCAGTAAGCCAGTATCAACATTGTGTGAAAGTATCACATTAAATTGGTTACCAAGTATTGAAGCACAATGTGTGTTACACAATAAAATTTGATGCATAATAGCGATCTGGATGTATGTCACGTTACTTCATACATTGGTATGTGCAGAGAATGAAATGGGACAGACAAAGAAATTATGAACGACATTTGTGTATTCATGTACAGAGAATATGACACAGATAGATAAAGGTTGATATATTGCGTATACGAGTGATGGCGGATGCATCTTCTTGGTTTTTGGCATTCTTTCATTGTAAGAAGACGCAAGCAAGTTGACATTTACAGGCTGCCTCACTGGGAGATGCCGTGTTATTGCATATCCAGAATCACGCAAAAAGTCATTCAAAAGCTTTTATATTTCCCGGCTCCTACGGCATATAATGTACGTTCGCCAAGCGACCAATTTATAATAACGCTTATGTCAGCTCAATGAACTTTTGTCTTAGCAAGCTTTGCCCAAACAAATTGCGCCACATAAATTTAATATATCTTTTGTGTCATTTGAATCGGAAGACAAAAACAAAAACACAGATTGCATTACAGACACGGAAATAACTTTTTGTGATAAAAAGTGTAAAATTTATTGCCAATGGTTGTTATTATTATGAGCATGTGGAATTTTTAAGACGGTTCCGACTACATCACAGACAAATTAATGATTACTTAATTTGATCCTTTACCAGCGGGTATTTCTGATACGTCGCTGACGTAGTAATAAATACCCGTTTCTGACGTGCTAAAGCCAAGAACCATGCAGTTGTCGAATAGTTCAAAGTTACAGACTTGTGAGAAATACATCGATTTAAAATACCTGAAATATGTCTTCAGAAATACTAATATACTCGGTTTTACTCACTAAATTTTGAGTATTTAAATGAGTTTTGCAAGGTATGTCTGCATATGTATGTGCTTGTCCACGGTCAAAGAATAATTTAATCTGCTAATATTGAGTTTCACATTAATTAATTTTGGTATTAGATGTTCATAATACACAGAAGATTCGAAACGTGTATGCAGTAATAATTTTCATTCATCAACCAAACCACTTTAATGACATTATGCTTTTTATGGCCTTCTCGAACATTTACTAGTACTAGTAAATTTTACAATAAACACGATAAATATACTGTTGGTTGTCAGGGTGATTGTCGGGGAAATGAAATGAACCGGATCCATTCATGAGATATGGAATGCTAGTAGACATGTCCAGATATTCGATCAAAATATAGAATAAAAGTGAAACTGCAATACAAGTTCTGGTCTTTTTGAGCGATTGCTATATATAGCGGATATGTATTTTACTTAACAATAACCATTGTGAATATAGTGCTACCATCCCCAATTACGAAGCCCTGTAGGAGAGAAATTTAGCGCAGACGTCAAAATAAGCAAGCATTAGAATTAAGGCTTGTGTCACCCAAGTAGAGTGCACACAGAAACTTTAGTGATAAACACACAATTAACGATGTTAATATTGTAAATTGACTTTGTTTAAATGAACAAAACCAATTGTTGTCTTCATAACTGCCACCAAATCTAAACTAACTCCCTTACTCCTTGTTAACCTCTCCGCATCATTATGATAGATAGTATCCCATACATAGTAATAGTAGTAGTAGGAAGCAGAATTATCATTGTACAACTCCTCTTTAACATTGTCCATGCATCTGGACGCTTATCAGGATCTGCATCACAACACTGCTCGGCAAGTTTCTTGTATTCCTCTGGTGCTGAATCAGGCATCAGCGGTCGTAGTCCACCCATAATATCGCACATTAAACTTGTGTCAAACGGCCTATCGCTGAAAGGTGGTTCACCAGTGGCCATCAAATGCATAATAATACCAAATGCATATACGTCTGCCTTCTGAGTAAATTTGCGAATATGAAAGACTTCCGGTGCAAGAAAGGGTGAAACGCCTCGAATAGTTGACACACGCGAATTCACTGATTGGGAAAGACCAAGATCGCATATTAAATGCATATCGTCATGCAAAAGTAATTTTCCACCATGAAGATCACAATGCACTAATCCCGCATTATGAATACAGTGCAGACAAAATGCAATATATCCTTGAATAATTTACCTGATGAAAATCAAATAATTGATCATCCCCTTTGTCCACCTGTTTCAACCGATTTAGGGGCGTGTTGGAATTTTTAAAGCCGATCGAGGTTCGGTGATTCATATTAATTTCGCCTGGTGCACCAGTGGTGTTGCATTACAGTCACGGAAATAACTTTTGTGGTAAAAAGTGTAAAATTTATGAATATACTCGGTTTACTCACTAAATACCCTTAGTATTAGTATTAGTATTAGGTTTTTTGAGATCCAACTTAAATGAGTTTGCAAGGCTGTTTAGTATAGGGTATACAGTATGTCTGCATATGAGCCAAATTGTATGTGCTTGTCCACGGTCAAAGAATAATTTAATCTGCTAATAATATTGAGTTTCACATTAATTAATATGTTCGTAATTCGAAAAGTGTACGCAGTAATAATTTTCACTGATCGAACCCCATAAACCAGGTTTTTTGACATTTACTAGTAATTTTACAATAACGATAAACATCGACGAAAGATTTTTGATAAATATACCGTCGGTTATCAGTCGGGGAAATGAAATGAACCAGATCCATTCATGAGGTATGGAATTCTAATAGACATGTTCAAATATTCGATCAAAATATATAATAAAAGTGAAATTGCAATACAAGTTCTGGTCTTCTTGAGCGATTGCTATAGCGAATATTAATATGTATTTTACTTAACAATAACCATTGTGAATATAGTATTACCATCCCCAATTACGAAGCCCTGTAGGAGAGAAATTTAGCGCGGACGTGCTTGAGTGAACCAATAATTTCAAGCGTTAAAACTAAGGCTTGTGTCATCCAAGTAGTATTCGTAAGAGCAATTTACAGTACTACCATAAATCGCGGAAATGTATATCGTGCACACAGTGATAAACACTTAAATAAAACTCGTGATTCAACACTAAATCATAACACAATGAACGATGTTAATATTTTAAATTAACTTTGTTTGTATGAACAAAACTAATTGTCAACCTCCCCTAATTTTACTTCTAAATTTGGCAAGCTGAAATCTGATAAGGGAAACTAATGAGAATTTACTTTCTTTCTCGAGACGCGATAATGGTCTTGCATCATGATGATAGATAGTATCCCACATACAGGAGTTATCATTGTACAAATCCTTTTTAATATTATTCCAAATTGTCCGTGCATCTGGACGCTTATCAGGATCTGCATCACAACACTGCTCGGCAAGTTTTTTGTATTCCTCTGGTGCTGAATCAGGCATCAGCGGTCGTAGTCCACCCATAATATCGCACATTAAACTTGTGTCAAACGGCCTATCGCTGAAAGGTGGTTCACCAGTGGCCATCAAATGCATAATAATACCAAATGCATATACGTCTGCCTTCTGAGTAAATTTGCGAATATGAAAGACTTCCGGTGCAAGAAAGGGTGAAACGCCTCGAATAGTTGACACACGCGAATTCACTGATTGGGAAAGACCAAGATCGCATATTAAATGCATATCGTCATGCAAAAGTATGTTTCCACCATGAAGATCACAATGCACTAATCCCGCATTATGAATACAGTACAGACAAAATGCAATATCCTTCAAACACTGTAATTTCATCCACCACGTCAGTTTGTTAATATTTTGATCCAAATAAGACAACAGACTACCATTGTTAGCATATTGCATAACAATCATGTACTCTTTTGTTTCTGGGACTTGTGTGTATCCATAAATTTCAAGGAAATCATCAGACGCGCACTTGGCATGATTTCTGAACTATTAAATAATAAAAGTAAATGCAGAGTCAAATTAAATATCGCCTTAATTGATAACATCAACAATTGCTTACCTCGGAAATAAATAATTCCGGCATTTCATCAAAACTCTTAAACCGTTTGAGTACAACAGTTTGTGGTATATGAGCATCGGTATACCTTTCTCCTCTATATTTGGCAGTATAAACTGTTCTATAGCCACCAGATCCGATCTCTGAGAGTCCGTAAAAGTCGCTATACTGCATGTACTTAACATATCTGTTAACGTGTATAAACTTGTACTTGTCCAATATCGGACGTATTTCATGGTAGAAAACTAAATAATATTCCCGAGTAGATGGCTCCTGAGTGATCCCAATTATCCAAATATTCTCGGGTGTTAATATCTCTGGGTATTCCCGAGTTAACTATTTGAGTAAATAAATAGTCATTACAACTTTAACGCGCGATACACACGTTAATAATAATATTTGCAAGTTTGTGCGCAAAGATAAATTACCTGATGAAAATCAAATAACCGATCGTTTTGTTCGTCGACTATCTTTTTGAGTGTCACACGTGTCGATTCATTTGTTGTCAGTTCTAAACATTCTGCTATAAGTGTACATCCATGGCGTAGTGAGGTCATTTCTCGTACGTTCGCCAATAGAGAATACTCTATCCATTGTATGTAAGCATCACATTCATTTGTCATATTACTCCACGACTCCATAATGAATGAATCCAAAGACTTGTTGCCAGTCGTCCAATCAGGAGGTGCTGGTGCTTTACATCTATAACAGAATGCATTTATCTTGGGGTGTAACGGACGTGTACATGATAGACACAATCCATCCTCACATTTTATTAGATAATACTTCTGTGTCCTTGTATTATATGTAAATCCGATGGTAACCCAAGCATCCATGGTAAGAATATCGGAATGCTCATCACATAACTAGTGGAAATAATACGTTATATCGAGTCAATAATTATCCAAACTAATCAATAAACACGACGCATAAGTAAATAGTTTACCTCGGCATAATATAAATCAAGTGTCTCGTCTGTTATCTCAAGTGGAATCAATTTAACATGTTCATAAGTAGGTAAACCATACAAATATATCCGTCCATATCTCACGCTAGTGCAATCGTATGGAATCCATTCCAAATAGGCATCATTTGCTGAGTTTGTTTGTAATTGAGATTTTTTAATAAACTCGTCCAGTTGCTTATTGTTGCTCGTCCATCCATTGGATAATTCTTTATGTCCGCAAATGCACCACACAGGGCTACATCGGAGTATTCCACATGCGGAGCAGAATCCATATCGAGAACAACAATCGTAAAAGAGTTCATCAGCAACCATGTAATACTTGTCATTAGATTTGATAAATCCTTTTATGAATTTGTTGCGCCACTCAAGCCATTTCTTATATCTTCTGAACTGATTAACGGCATTGCTGTACTTGTGTGTTGGAAGTGAGTATATTTTGGTAAACTCACTCACAAGTGTTGGTGTGCATTCTTCGCTGTTTCCAAGGAATACCAGTGTCAGCGGCAGTCCATATCTATACGTTCCTTTGTGACTAGCGTAATAGATAGCGTCTGTTGGAGTTGACTCTAGTGCTAGATCGGTGATTTCCGAGCAAGGAATCCATTTAAGCCTTAGGTCATGTTCACTTTCCAAGGAGGATTGAACCAAGTTGTCAATTGCTGAATTATGCATATCGTTAACAAACGACATTGCTGGGAGAACATTTCAACAATTATTGTGTTACATCACACATAAATAGTGTATGATAATGAACGATAAATTATTGCTTTAAAAACTCAAGTTGTAAATATAAAAAACTTTCGATATCCGTCTTTTCTACAAGTTTATAATAAATTGAAATACGTTAATTATTATTATGTACTCGTTAAAAGATCTAATACATTAATTATTGTAATTTATAAAGTAATCGTACAATCATATATTAATATTACCGTTTTGCACACGTAAATTACAATAATAGATTTTAATACTAACCGTCCGTTCTGATATTCCGTAATAGTAAAGAATAACATAGTTTATAAGCGTTTAATTATATTATTATTATTTTCGATTCAACGATTATAAAATTTGTTGTTATCTAATCATTGGTAAAACAATGTAAGAACGCCGTGTACTAAATAATAGTTGTTGCAGATTAAAGCATTTCCTTCCACTAAATTTTTTTGCTCTATCATCTTATTATAATTACATCAACGACGATTATCTAATATAAATGATCTAAATGTGATATAAACACATACAAATAATAGTCTGTGGCTACAATAACACAGTTTCAAATTTTCTGTACTAATAAATTTTAAAAAGTGCCGAATGAACCTCTTCTGTGATAAGACTGATGCGTTTTTATCAACCTATAAAATTGCCTCAGTGTATTGACAGACAACTTGTTATCAGCCACCATTGTTTAATCTTATATGTTTATACCACGCTCACCAACGTACATGCTATTTCATCTGGTAATTTTTTACGTGTAGTCGTCGATCAAATATTTCTTAGCTTACTCTACGTGTCTTCCTCCGATGAGTATTTGTGTCACTAATGAAGGTGCTTTTTGGTGATTGTTTGTCTGTAATTGGTTGGTAATGAACATGTTTATCCTTTTCTGGGACAGCCCTAATACTCTTTATCTTTGGCATTTGTATTTGCGCTTGATTTCCAACCTTCTTGTGGCATATATAAAATATCCAGTTAGCTTGTACGTAACTCCCAGCCTGAATGAATTCTACTGCTGACGCCAGAACTCATACAGGTTACTGACCCAAGTTGCATCAGCGTGACATTAATTGTTGTAATAAACTTATAGTTATCATCCTTATAACAAATTAGAGTCAAAACAATTTTCAACGGTGATGTTAGTTGGATGACAACGCCGACTACACACGTTATTTACATAAATACTTGTTTGTTAGGCAGTCCGCCCGGCAACTATATCTGTTTGACATTTACTGGTTCAAGAAAGACTGCCGACACTAGCTGAAGGTTAGCCGCTTGATAGCATACATTTAACGATATAGTTTATCTATTGGTGTTCCGAATCTACGTTACCCACGCTAAATAATTATTATCTCTTCTATCTGCTGCTTCTTGCTTATCTTTACGCTATAAATTGGTATATTCTTGCACACCCTGCCCAGACAGACAGTAATCGGTGACGGTAAAATCTTAAGTGTGTAATAATTTCAGGCTATTATTAATTATGTTGTCATGATTTAATTAATTGACGCATTGTATCAAGTGTGAATTAAACCGACGCCTTTTTGGGGGATTTGGGTTAGGATTTAGGGTGACGCTTGTTAATAAAAGAGTATATGTGGGTTTCAGAGGCGTTGAAAAGACACCAGATTTCGTTTTAATCCACGATGTTGTTTTAATCTGTCACAATAATTGGTGCAGAAGCTCGCGTTAACGTGATGAATAAACCAATTTAAAATTAACTATTTTTTGAACGAATTTCACTATACATTAGCACTGGTTAAGACTATAAAGTTACTACTGAGAAATGTATCAGCAAACAAATTTACTTGTCAGATGTTGAAACGATATACGACAAAGGAACTGAATTTTTCATCTAACAAAACAGTGTTTGAAATTCATAAGCTACTGGACAAAGGGCTGCGAAATTAGTGTATTAGCAACAATAAGTAATGAAACAGGTTATATTCATGGCTTTCGGTCCGAGCATTTTCTTCTCACGCAATTATTCTGGTATCATATTTGAACTAGAATTGTTCGCAATCGCTTGGCAAGACCAAAGCTCGCATGCGAGAACATTAGAACGTATCTTGTTTTATATGACAATGTTTTTAAGAGCCAAACAAGCAGAGACCCATTCAACCCTCAATGTTTATGTGCGGGTTCTTTAGTAAACTTGATCTCGATGGATTTAATTTGCGTTGGTTATTAAACAATAATAAAAGTGCCACTGTGACGTTATGCATGTAATGTCCATTTAACCAGAATGCATGATTTCTTTGTAATACCGCAAATAATAATATCGTGTCAATTCAATAATAACCGATGACTGACGTTCCCATAATCTGAACCCTCACATGATAACGTCCCATATAGTAGAGATCGACATCAAATCATTAAAAAGTTAACCCAAGAATTTGGAACTAAATTTTTTCCCTTCATCTCACAATGTCCGAAACTAATGACGACCCCGATAATACAAAAGAACCAGTGTCATTCAAGTCATTGGTATGTATTGAAAATGATCAACCGTAGACGAGAGCACAATGATAGTGAGAAGCGGTGTCGGATGAAATGAGAAATCATATCAATATGAGCACTGACTTTAATGCGAAAAATAAAATGTACTATTGATCAAAACCTAAAAGTAATAAATAAAACTGCTTTTCTCAAATCAACTAAATTATTCGGCTCTATTATTAATTTTATATTCACGCATTTTTACATCATCGAAACAGGGGATAATAGATTCGCTATGTGAAGCTTGTGAGCAAGTGAACTACAAGCAACCAACTGAAATACAAGCCGAAGCTATTCCTTGGGCATTGCAAGGTTAGCAGAGCAAAGGAATGCCCTACTTTGTGTGTTTATCGCTCTGATATGGAATGCATGATCCGTTGCGTTATCTAACAAGACCGTCGCGTTCACTAAAATATTAGGTAGAGACATAATAGGTTTGGCACAGACAGGATCAGGGAAAACTGCTGCATTTGCATTACCAATACTACAAGCATTATGGGGCGCACCACAAGGACTATTTGCTTGCGTATTAGCACCTACCAGGTAAGATTAAGATTAAATTGCAGCAGGCGAAAAGGACGTATATGTGTGAAATGAAGATGACATATAACTACAAGCGTTTTTACTACATTTGACAATTACGCTTATAATATCTCTCTCGCTCCAGGGAACTGGCTTTTCAGATAAGCGAAGCCTTTGACTCTCTTGGTTCAACGATTGGTGTCCGATGTGCGGTAATAATTGGCGGAATGGACATGATGTCTCAAGCGATAGCTCTGAGCAGAAAGCCACATATTGTTATTGCTACACCCGGTCGGTTACAAGACCATTTGGAAAACACAAAAGGGTTCAGTCTGAGGAATCTGAAATATTTGGTATGGAGGGGGGACGCAGAGATTGGATGGATCGGGTGTATTAAATGTTGAAGGAGTGAGAGGCAAAAAAAAAAAAAAAAAAAAAAAAGAGAGGAAACATAATCTTATATTTAGTTAGTCATCATTGACCAAAGGATTAGAACATACCTTACGTACCTGTCCTTTCAATTTTACGTTTCGCTTACGATTGCTACTTGCCTTCCTTTAATAACCACTTTTCGCTATACCACAGGTTCTCGATGAAGCCGACAAACTCTTGGATATGGACTTTGGACCAGTAATCGATAAACTTCTCAAATCCATTCCCAAAGAACGAAAAACGTATCTTTTTTCTGCGACCATGACTACAAAAGTCGCCAAATTACAACGTGCCTCCTTGACTAACCCGGTTAAGATTGAAGTGTCATCAAAGTAAGTACAACGTTGGAAACTTGGGAGGGAGAAGGATATTGAGGGAAGTCATGGAAGTGAAAAAAATTTTTAAAATTTTTTTGAGATTATTTGTTTTCTCATATTGCTTTGTCTCTTATCTCTTGATTTTCCTTTCCCTCCCCCCCTATTTTTTTTGCAAGATATTCTACAGTCTCAACTCTTTTGCAATATTATCTCTTCTTCCCACTTAAACATAAAGACTGCTACCTCGTCTATCTCTGTAACGAATTATCCGGCAACTCTATCATAATCTTTACACGAACATGTTCAGAGACACAACGATTAGCATTGTTATTACGAAATCTGGGTTTCCCAGCTATACCGCTACATGGACAGATGAGTCAGAGCAAGAGGTTGGGCGCATTGAATAAGTTCAAGGCCGGAAATAGGAATTTGTTGATAGCCACTGATATTGCTAGCAGGTAAGTTTTGACTGTAAAGACGGGCGAGGATCGTAGTATGTGACAAGTCGCGAATGATCCAATCTGTCGAGAGAATAAGATTTTAAAATCTTTAGACGTTAGTTGTTAGAGCAAGGCAAAGACTCTATCCACAATCGACTGACATTTCCATCGCCTTTTTTCATCACAGAGGCCTGGATATTCCCTTAGTAGACGCTGTAATCAACTTTGATATTCCTCAAAATTCCAAAGATTACATTCATCGGGTTGGCCGCACTGCTCGTGCCGGACGATCAGGAAAGTCTATTACCCTGGTGACTCAATACGACGTTGAACTCTTCCAACGGATTGAACAGGTGATTGATAAAAAGATGGAGCAGTTCCCACTAGGAGACAAGGAAGAGGTGTTGTTGTTGCAAGAGCGGGTTGCGGAAGCACAGAGAATCGCCACGATCGAGTTGAAGGAGTATATAGGGAAGAAGAAGAGAGGGAGAGGAGAGGGTGATTACAATGATGGTGATGATACGGGTAAGGATAAGTTGGTAGGAGGTTCGAGGGGTTTCGGACCTGGGCCAGGTGTAAATAGAAAAGGAAGAATCGGGAAGAAGAGAAAGTAGATATGGTGATGACGACAACGATGACGATGATGATAATGACGACGATGTTGAACATGAGTAGGGACAAGTCGGCAAAAGGTTCGAAAAGAGTTTTCGGACCTTGGACAGGTGTAAATATAAGAGGTAATAGGGTCGAATGTTTTTGGCTGGCGCATTTACGTTGTAATGTTTAATTTCCTTTGGCACGTCCCCCTGTTTGTTTATAACAACAACTGATATCGTTTTCGCAAAATGAATTACATTAAAAAGAGGTTTTATTTATTGCAAAAAAAGACGATAAGATACGATAAACAGCAGCTGGCCTTTTTTTTTTCTTTCCTTCATTAAAAGAAAGTGAGAGAGAGGAATAAATTTTTAAATTAAATTTTGAACAAGAAAGGATGCTCGCTTCGGAAGGGAACATACACATATTATTCAAAGAAAAATAATAAAATTTTTTTACAAGTTTAATCTCCATTTCACAGCTTTTGAAAACAAACAAAAACAAAAACAAAATCCTGAAAATATACTTCCAAACAAAATTGAAACAGAAAAGTTATCTACAAGAGATATACTGCATCGACTTATCTCATTATGAAGCGAAGAGTACATTTATAACGTATGGTGTAAAATTACATAATAAAGATCGTCTAGATCCATTAAAAAACTTTCCGATATACTTTTTTTTACAACTCTAGAATTATGGGATCATTTCACTCGATCCCTAGTCTAACTACCACCACCATCTTTCCCCTCTTCTTTCCATCGGCTACCGATCATCTTGTGTATTTGACCGAGCAACCGTAGACCTTCTGGTTGTTAGTATTGGTGGTGGAGGACTTGGGTAATTGAGTCCGGAGCTTTCTCGTGTGTTAGCAGTCGACGTACTATTATTATGACCTGCCAGAGTCGCATACGTTGATTCATTCTCTCCATCACGATTTGTATTAGGTTGCAACCTTCTTCTCGGGGGAGCAGAAGTATACAATACCATATCCTGAATTCTGTGTCGATCATATTCTGGTATCGGCAAATGCGGTAAATTACATACTGGGGGAGCCGTCGGAGTGTATGCCGGTGGACTTATCATTGGAAGTTCAGAATAGAAACCAAGATCGTCAATTTCGTCTATTTCGCGCCGAGAATCGAATCGAGGTATAGATCTATTCGTTCTGTTTGTATCATCGGTTTTGAACATTTCCTCGTTTCCTGCCAAGTCAATCTTAACGTCTCCATCGGTCTCGCTATTGCTCACCAGCTCTGCAGCCATTGGCGCAGACGGCGTAGACAAATTATTTGTGAGAGATGTGAACGCGGGCGGAAAATCTTGGATTACGGGTCTTGATAGTTGTTGTAGCGGAATAGAGGCTAATTGTATTGTACAAGACGAGTCTGTGGTTATTACTGCTGGTGGTAGTGTGACAGATGCAGATGCTTGTGTATCCATTTCCATTAAACTATGTCTATCATCGTCCATTTTGTTAGAAACTCTACCACTATCTTCATTGCTCAACCTTCTCCCTCTTTCGGTAACATCATTACTTGCATTATTTGCAGCTCTTTCTCTATTCCAAAAACTTCCATTATCTCGACTTTTGGAGCCACTCTCTCCATCATCTTCTAATTCTTTCCTTACGTGGCCCAAATCTCTTTGCTGCTTTCTGACTTTGCAATATAGGCAAGCCATTGCTATTGCAACGACGAATAAGGAAGCACCAAGGGAACAGAGTATTACTATCACACGATGGATGGTAGCTTCTTCGTGGTCAATGAGGCTGTCATCGAGGATAGAATTATCTGTGCTGGTTGTGGTCGGGCGGGAATGCTTTGTGAAGAAGGAGAGTTGTTGTGGATTAGTACAAACGTATAAATATTATGTATATAAAGTCCTTCCTTGCAACGCTTTTGATATAGCAGGGTTTGAGAAGTGGCCAGTAAGAGTTATACTAGATATTTCTTTGGCATCTAATCATGCGTTTTGATCTACTTTTCATTCAAAATGACATGACCACCCCTCGCAATTGCAAAATCTACAAGTTCTATTTATACTACTTGTGCCATTCTTTGTAATTGATTATGATTCTTGGTAGCAAGTTCTTACTCCGACTCTTGTGTACTTTTATTACTCTTTTAACTTTTCCTCCAATTTCATTCTCAATAATTGGTTAAAAGCTCTTTTCTTCTGCTTACCTTTGTTATCGTCGTGGTGTCTATCGTCGTGGCGTCTAGAGTTTCTGTGGTAGTACTTGCGTTTTTATCCCCCCCCTCTCTTTTCAGTAAGAAAGACTCAAACTGCTTTGAGGCAACAGGTCAAACATGCATATTAGATCACTTGGTTATTGAAAGAGAACTTGGACATGATGGTCTGTTAAAGTTACCTTGTCATAAGAAGCAGTGGGTATTGTATCTCTTTTCTCTATTTTGTTTCCCTGTCCTCCAGCAATAGGATTGGCGTTGGCGAATACGCCGAGTAGACTTAGCGCGCCAATTAGAGGAATAACGAAGCAATGCAGCTTCATTATTTTTGTTATATTGTCAAAAGCAGTCCGGGTATAGAGCTCGTTGTCAAGGTAGTAGTAGGAAAGGCGAGATTACGTGAATGTTAGAAAGGTTCACACTTTGTGTTTGTGTTCGCTATATATTATAAATTTTTTCTTCTTCTCTTCTCTACGTAGTGTAGCAGGAAAGCTATGATAGTAATAAAATATATTGGGGTCAACAAAAAAGATGCCTTTGTCGCTGCTGACTGATCGTATGAGAATAACTACCAAAACGGTAAAAAAGGATGTGTTTGAGGGGATATGATGATATATAAAGAATGTGATATAAACTGTTATCCACCATATCTCATATCTCTGTATTTGCGGGCGGTTTGTTATACAAACAAGCATCAAACTTCCAGAAAAGGAATGTTTTGACGGAAGAATAGTCTCTGAAGAAACATCTGAAAAAAAATACTTGTGCCTGCGTATTACAACATTTTCAGGGGCCCCCAATGGTAGGTTTTACGAAATGCGTATATTTTATAATTAGACTTTAAACATAACGATCAAATAACCCCCTTTTTTTGATCTCAATTACATAAACAATGTTTCTAATCATAGAATTTACGATTCACGTGCTCATTTAATTTAGTGTGACATTTTTGGCGTAAGGTTTTTTTATTTCAAACATTTGTATATGCCAAAAAGCATGCGGCAATAAGAATGTTAATAAAAATAATGGCGACAAGCAAAGAAGGCATATTAATATATCGATCTGTATATCGGATATTTTGTGAGATAGCATTTATTTATCATTTGCAGGAAAATACAACTGGCCGGAAAAACGAATGTTTTCCGCAACGTCTCTTGCACAAACGCGTCTTTCCAAAATGCTTCAGCCGGATTAGAATGTGAGAAAGGCCCTGTACGCAACCAGAAGGACAAACTAATCATGACCGCAATGTTACTAACAGTACTTATGACTATAGAGCAAGCCGGCATATCTAAAGAATTCAATGGTTACAATTTGTAACCATTGAGAGTGAAGATTATGCATATTTTCAGCAAGCAGCAAGCTATGCATATCTTTCATGTGCATTTGTCAAATAGATTAATCTGTTCAACTGATGTTTCACCTTACTGCATAGTATGCGACCGGAATGTGTAATCACTTTAGTAAATAACAACATTGGAATGTTTCTGTGATGTTTCGTAGTTCAGTGCTTTTCTGTTTTTAGTAAAGTTGGGGTAATTATAATTCGGTTTGACAGTAACTTTCTTTTTTTTTTTTTACAATTTAGTGTAAGAATAAACATTAAGTTTCTGATAAGGTAATATGTGAGTGATACACTATGTCCATCCAGTATTTATAAAGGTTTTATAATAAAATTGAATTAATAATCATTAAACAAATTTAAGCTACTACTACTTTATAATTTGCTAACTTTAATCGATTTTTGATTTTCTAAATTTTGAGTTGATTTTATACAATTGCTTTTCGGGTTAGTGACCGTTTGTTGATCGCTTGCCAATCTTGTCCATGTTAAATATCGATATTAATTCCCGACGTCAATCTCTCCAATAAAGGAACAGCCGTTCTTGTAAAAAAACTTTGGTTACTATTATTCACAAAAGAAGAATCCTACTCTGCAAAGAAATCTGCGCATCTTATTCCGGCTTAATACCATTATTGTATATTAAGATTGTAGTTACTCTTATTGGATTTGTTTATTATCCAACATGTTTAGCATACCAATTTCCCAGAGTTAGTGTCTTCTATTTCTGTAAACTTTGTTATTGAACTAACTGCTTTTATTTATAGAGAACCATCACGTTTAGCTTCTTCTTCTTTTTTTATTAAACTTGGGAATACTAAATATTTTGCTTAAAACTAGAAAATCTGTATCAAAATTATATCAAATGTGTAATACTTTTCTGTAATAAGTTTGTCTTATTACAGTGGTATTGTTTGGCCCAAAGAACGTATATTGCAATGTAAGTCAATTTGTTATGTTGTGAATGTCATTCTTTGCATTCGGCATTTGTTATCTCAATTGAGTAACAATTCACATATCCTCGCTCGCATATGTGTGTAGAAATATACCCGGAATTGGCCCGCTTTAAGGAAGACAATTTCCTTTCCATGTTTCCACACACATCGGTTATTAAATGTGTTACTTTGTCACTTAGATTGCATATAATAATAATTGTGCTTTCCACGTAGGATCTGTTAAGCCACGTGGTAACAATTCCTGACATTATTGGTAAACTCTTATTGAATATCTATAAATGACGTAAGTCGACAATAAAAGAACCTAACGACAAGCTGGATCTGTCACACAGCCAAACCGTAAAAGTCGGTGAATGTTGCAAAGTATAATTTCTGATAATAATTCTAATTGACATATTACTGGTTCGTTCATGTCAGGACTATATTTATATGTTTCGGCAGACTGTAAACGAGCGTTGTTTACCACATTTTAATTCGGGCGGTTTCATTTCTTTCTATCATTTATGATCTTTCGGCAATTAATTCTACGAGTTGAGGAATTGGACAATAATTATGATTAACGAAAATATGAAACTTTTAACGTTCAAATAATAGTCATATCACTATCACTTATTCAGAAACGGACTTAAATGGTATGCGGCTAGTGAATGAAAGCGAGCGAGCGAGACCATAACTTTCCAGGATACAGATTGTATCCTAGACGCTACAATTTTCGTGGGTAGCAGAAAGACTGGAATGACGACTGGTGATATCCGAAAACGGAACTGGAACTGACGACTGGTGATATCTGAAAACGGAACCATTAAATGAAATGGAACTGACGACTGGCGATATCTGAAAACGGAACCATTAAATGGAACTGCTGTACACGAGTATAATGATAAACATGCATAAAATGTCGTATTGCAGTATAAAGAAGAAAAAAGGACTTGCCAATCGAAAGCTAAAAAGTGGGCAGGTATACAATTATGGTGTTTAAAAGACGCATGGCTTTTGTGGCTTTGTACGAGACTTTACCATTCCGAAAATAAGGATAATACAGTCTTGACGGGAAGGACTGGTAATAGTCGCAAAGGTTTGACTGCAAACAATAGCATGATTGACAAAAGAGCTTGTGTTCCCACCAATACGCAATTGTTGAGATGAGGTGATTACATTATATAATCAATCTCTCTCTCAAATATCACCTTTGTATTATCTGAATCGCCCATTTTTGGGCGTTAAATTTCATTAGTGGGAATTAATAGAATAAACTAGGAAACAGAATCATACATGCAAACAACGATATGTACGCCTAATTAATAAAGCTGAACAATGTGCAATTATTGATTTAATACAAATGTGCTTTTGAAGCAAAGACGCATTTAATTTTTGAACCAACCATTTGCCGATAATATAATATAGTTTCATTTCTTTCTGCGAAATTGCTTTACTATTCTAAACTAGTATGGTAAACCCGTTTGTTTGTTATTTCCTTGCAAGGGAAGGCATTCCGAGGAAGGGGGACTGGTTTATCCTATCATCGTTTAAGACTGCTATTCCCATTTGCACGTCACAATTAAAGAGTTTCATTTATATAAAACATGTGTTGAAACACTGGGAAAAAACTGAACCCTGACATTTCTTTTATTTGCAGTAGGATCATCGTTAGCCCTTCCCACTTTGAATTTGGGTTGTCCCATTACGGATATTAGTATAGTTTTTTACTATTCCGATTGAGCAATATGTCCATATCCTTCAGAATGTCTTCAAAATGGTTATAAAAATGATAGTAGCATTAGTAATGTGTTTCAAAGCGAAACATCTGTTTGCAAATCTTTCAGAACATATGTCTTACAATATAAGTGATGGAAGAGGCTAGTAAGGTTCATCAGAGGCTGTTCACATAAAAGCAGATTCAAACCCAAATATATACAAAAAGCTCTAAGCGTCCGGGGAATGCCGCAGCAAATACGAATATTGTACTACAGGTCGGCCGAGGTTAATGTACTTAAGGTGACACAAAATTTTAGTTTGAAAGACGTAATAAGATACGATGCAATTTAACTCTATTGACCGATGGCTGTCAAATCTTCTGCTTTAAATTCGATGTTTTCTTGTTGTTCGAGAATATCGGGGACTTTTTTCAGGGAAATTTTTTCGATGGTTGTATTTCTTCTGTATCAGAGTCGTTCTCAGCGGACTTACAACTAAGAGACTTTTTTTGTCATCGTCAAGTGCTGCATTTGCATTTTCCGCATAATACAAACAAAAATACTGAATAAATTTCTAACATTCCATTATATTAATTAGTTCCTGAATTATTGCATTTTTGGAACGATGTCGGGCCGGTTTTAGCCAGCAGTCCCTAATCTTGATTCTATCAACATCGTTCCATGTGTCAAACACGTTATAAGTAATTGTAATTTATGACGCATGAAAAACATCTGATCTGAGGCGTGTCTAGTAAGAGAATGATAGTTCAACTTGCGTAATTTTTGTTAACCACTTGAGCCACTCGTAATACGGACACCTAATGATTATATACTAGACTGGAAATGTGCTTTCGAAACTTTGCTTTTATTCTTTTTCCCTGCTGAGCCTACATGCTTTACGATTTGCCTCAGTTCATTAAACTCAGATAGCCAACCGTCTATTAAAGTCATTAATTTCTAAACGCTTTGCGTAATTGCGAGCTTTAGCAATTATAGCGTCCCCGGAAAGAGCATAGCCATTTACAACGTCCATAAAGATAGGGCCTTTTGCTACGTTTGTCTGGCCTTCGATTCCTTAATCGTTTATCATTATATCGATATTTATCCGTTTTTCTGATTGGCTATAATATGGCCTTTTTTTTCGATATGAAATAAACATATGATGGAATTTTTTTGTCATATCACACAATTAATGCCGGTCGGATAATTTATCGCATAATTAGTGCAGCCGGTCGAATTATCGATTATAGTCAAGAAAATAAATAGTGTAAGACTTATTCCAAGCTACATATGCATACTAAGCTATTATCTACCTGGATAGACAAGAGTGAAACAAAGCATGTTGGTTTTGATCATAGTCCCGACACTTGTCGTACAGCGATGGACCAGTGTATAAAAGTGGAAAAAAGTTGACTATAAGAATTAACCCTTAAATGGAAATGATTTGACTGGGATTGCATTAACGAACGTTATATGTACCAGCTTAATGGAAATTATTTAAGCAATCGAATTAACAAGTTTGATTGAATATGAAAGATCAAGTCTCGTTCAAGACGATAGTGATCGGAGTCGGAGTCTAATTATCGGCAGTCGACTGTAATACTATTCGGGGTATATACGAATTTTTGGTAATATAATGTGAACTCAACAATATAATATTCTCATTATAAGGACTAAAAAGGCGTGTTGTTGTATTTCCGCATCCCCAACAAAAAATTAAGTTTTACACTGAGGGGCTTTTTGACTGACACTGTGTTTTACAAGTACAAGGGTTTGGTGCGTCTCTTCGCTTTTTGTGGTCTCATTTTATTTATAACATTTGTTCTAATAATAATAAATAGCAACTGTTACACGCTCCCGCTATCAGTAAAAACCTGTTGTACTATGTGTAATATGCGTTACACAACATATCTATTTGCATCACTTGAGTAAAATGGAAAGCGCCAAACTTGTTCAACTACAAAAGATAATGAAAAAACCGCTGTCTTTGATGCTATTGTTTATTATACAGATGGTGACTTTAACCATAAGTCGATGCTAATACTCTTTCTAATTCCCTTTTTAGATATTCTATTGTCAAAAATTTTCCTTTTTCTAAATAGCGTATTGTCAATTGCCTTTAACTGTCAATGTAACCGTTGGATTTATTCTGGATCCCAAAAGTCCGTTGTGAAATTTCGATGCAAATGTCGTGATTCAGATCCAGATCGCGGCAAGCTGTGTTTGAAAGAGAAAAAAAAAAGGAGAGTTATTTGTCACATTACTGTTGTTCTTATTAATGAAAATGATCCGATGCTTGTTCGTGTAACAGTACCAGCACTGACAACATTGGAACTATAGTTCAACATTGGTCGGTCATTACTACGTCATTTACATTAAAATAATATACTACATTAAAACTAGTGGGAACTTTTTTTTTTCTAGTTGTTTGTTTGCATAAACATTTGCCCACACCCCCGTCGTTTATTCGATTTTCTATTTTGTGCAAAAAACCAATTTCCATATAGAATTTTCTAGTTTTTGGAAAAAAAATTTAATTTTTTGTCACGTTCCTCAGCAGATCTGACTTATCCTTCTTGCATATTCTCTGCAAGTCAAAAATCAGTACTCTTTTGAACCCCGTTTTTTCTTTGACTTTGCAAACCAGTTTGTGGCTTGTCTTTATAGATTATTAATCGTTATCGCCCTACAATGTCTCTCTCGAATATTACACAGAACTTTAGACGCGCAGTTCCGGTTTAAAGATAATACCACCTAGATCAAAACTCGCTCGATATAGAAAAGGCCCAATCTTCTTTAATTTCAAAAGCATACCATTAAACGTAAGGTTTACAGAATTTGAATAAGAGCATGAATCAACATCTTGCAAGATGTCTTGGACGCTTCCAACACCCACTTTCAACCAGCTAAAAACAAACATCTGAGTAGGCGAATACCCGTCAACAGACTTTGCTTGCGGTTATTGTAAAAGTAGATAATATTGTTCTAACGTATCAGTATCGACTGTAAAAGTGCAAAAACATGAGAAAAGGAAAAAATAGACGGGGCCAATCGGGCATGGATGAGTTGTTGCTGTGAATGAAAGAATCGTTCAATTTTTGGAATATTTCGATTCAAATCATGTCTCGGTCCAAACTTGGCAGGTTCAATGATTTGTAAATTTGGCCTAAATACAAAAATCAGCCTTTGGCACGTGATCTTTCTTTTTTCTTTGACCATATTAATGTTCATATCGGAATTCTTGATATTTCAAAGCGTTTACGCTTACTAAATCATTTGTTATGTAGATCGTCATACAAAAGGAGAAGGAATTGACCAACAAGCGCAAATCTCTATCAGATATGGCCTCCTTGTCACAGGCCTCTCACCACATAAAAAACGGAAACATTTAAAGTTGACAAACTATAATATATATATATATATATATTTTTTTTTCCTTACCTACTAACACAAAAATTTTCGCATACTGATCTGTTTATGTTTCCGACAGTGAATAAGATGAAATGACTAGACTGTTAATAGAGAATACTAATGATATTAATATGCCAAAGTCTAGTATATCAATATTGAATTTAATAATACAGTTAATCGGTATCGTCATTTGATCCTGGGTTTATTTATCATTGAGACGGATACCAATATAACAGTTACTTCTAATTCGTATGCTGTCATGCACGAAAATTGTACATCCGAAAGTTCATTTTTTTTGAATGAAAAAAAAAAAAAATTCTAAAAAGAAGAAATCTTCTCTATACAAAATGTCTGATTCATTTCATTCATAAAATCACATGACCGTTCACAATCAAACCAGAAATTACTTTTTCATCATTTCACTTTTTCATCATTTCACTTTTTCATCATTTCACTTTTTTCTCTATCCCTCCTCCCACCTTCTCTTCTTCCGAATTCTGCTCCTCACTTGCCACTCCCGCTACTACTCCCACTTCCATCCCATCTTGACCTCTTACGTATGTAACTATCATCTCGCGGTGGACTGTAATGATCACCTCGTAATCGATCCCTTCGCTTTCGTTTGTCTCTTTTACCTCGCGTATCCTTTGCGTTACGAGCATCACCGACGCGAGGACGGAATTGTCTGTTATCTTGTATTGGCGAGTGACCATGAGGATGTCCGTGCGGATGAGCGTGAGGATGTAGTGGATGATGCGGTGGCTGCGGTGGATGATGCATATTTGCGTGTTGATTATTCATATGTGGATTATTCATGTGCGGACCGCCCATCTGCATATGAGCAATGTTCATGTGTGGATCGCCTGCATGTGGATCGTTCGAATGATGACTACGATATGCGTCAACATTTCCATCATTATGATTGTATCCGAATCCTCCTCCGGCCCTCCCTTGCCTCGGGCCTCCTCTCTGATAATGATACTGTCCGTGAGGTGGTTGTGCTTGCTGTTGTAAACCTGCACCCATTCCCGTACCCATTCCCGTACCCATTCCCGTACCCATTCCAATACCACTATTACGTACTTCCTGCATTCCAGGGGGCGCAGCTGCTGACGACATGAATTCTCCCGGATACGCTCCCGGTGGAGGTGCATTTTCTGGATGCATCTTATGTGCGTTGTCGTTGCTTTGTATTCCGTGTGTCCAGGGAAAAGCAGGTTCTTGGTGCGCATGTAGAGGTGGGACAGGACCACTACCATTACTCGGTGGTGGAGGTCCAGACAACATATGAGTAGGTGGAGGGTTAAGGTGTTGTGCATTGGCCAGAGTGCCAGGCGGAATTTGATGGGGAGGGTGGATTGGTGGAGAACGTATTGGTGGAGAACGTATTGGTGGAGAACGTATTGGTGGAGAACGTATTGGCGGAGAATGGATTGGTGCGTGTTGTTGCTGTTGTTGCTGGGATGAAGGTAGCTGGATGTGAGCCGGCGGGGCTCCAAAGGGTGGTACTGCAAGCTGAACAGATGTTGGGGCAGTAGTTGATACTTGACTCGTCGTGCTCATGGATTCTATCGATGCGTCCCCCTGTGGTGACATCCAAGCCATGCCATCGCCCTTTTTTTCTTTCTCTTCCCTATCGATACCAACAACATCATCCATACTACTTGTACTCGTACCTTCACCCTTCGTATTAGTCTTGACCTTACCATCAATAATTTGCGTCATAACTCGTTTGTTGGCCGATCCGCTTGAATATCCTTCACCGACTATAATATCTGGTTCTTCAAGGACAATGCCGCCAAGTATGGGTCGGCCACCCGTTCCGCCCATTTTGGACGTCAATAACCATTTCCGGTCTGTCTCTGTTAGGCGGTCAAGTGGGATTAGCGATTCGCCATGTGCAAAATTATAGCAGTCTTTTGGGCCAAAGCCTACGCCCCATCGAACCTGGGAAAGCACGGTCGAGGATAAGTTAGTAAATGTTGGAACTTAGGGGATGAAAAGATCTATGCTGGTAACCTACGTAGTACTAAGTAATGTAGATAATGAGCATGTTATGTTAGCATAATCTAAATTCTCGTTGTCCCATATCATTTCTGTTTCCAATTATATATGCCAGTATGAAATTAATTACCTTGACTCGTTTATCCGCAATCGCCCGTATAGCAGCATTCCGTGTGTCCATTTTTACAAAAGCGTTGTTTTTGTCATAATTAAGCTAACACAATAAAGATCATCCCATTTAAAATCACAAACGATTTCCCCAAAGAATACAAGGAACATGATTTAAATATGGCAGACTCACCGTTACGCTCACAACCTTCCCATGACAAGAAAAAATTTCCCAGAGTCGTTCCTTCGTAGTTGACTGGGTTACTCCTCCGACATACAGCGTTCTGCTCAAAACTGTGACAAGAGATATTCGGACACGTTGTTAGATATCCAACCCATCGAACCTTTGAATAAAACCATAGAGTCAGCCCCCCTTCCAAGAAAATCCTTACTCTTAATAAAATCCTTGGGCAGATTAGGGTCTTCGTAAGCAATACTTTTTTCTTCCTCTAACGCGCCGTCCAATGGTTGATTTAAATCTCCAATTCCATGTGGCCCGGATGTGCCCTCACGACCGTCGGGACGTACCGGATTCTGCCCGAGTTGCTGCGGATGGCCGGGCTGTCCGAGCTGTCCATAATTTCCGCTTTCGTCTGTAGGTGCCGGAGGATTAGACGAATCCCATGAGTGAGCCGGATGAGGGGCATGCGGACCGTGCTGTAGAGGATGATGTTGTGGAGGTTGCGCATTTGGAAACCCATCCCAAGCGGTATACCCTGGCCCTGGAGGTGGAGGGTGTGGTTGCCCTGGTTGTGATTGTGACCATTGATATGGCTGATACAATGCGATAGAGCAGGTAAATCCACATGATTTCGCCAAATACATGCCCATTATATACGGTTTCACTTATATCGATTGTTTTATGACATGAAGAGATCGACTCAATGTTGCACTTACGTTCACATCCCCCGTTGTTCCCTGTGGTGGAGGTGGATTTTGGTATATTAACGAATCTCCGCCAAATTGTTGATGGTTGGGCGTTACACTAATCGATCCTGACGCCGAGGGTTGGGGTCTATTGATTGGGTTCATAGAGATTTTTCGGATGGGTTTTTTATTCGAAATAACAAGGAAAATTAACAGATGGATTAGCCCGACGGAAAATGACTAAACTGGATTTATAATAGAATATCGGGAGGTTATAGAGATTTGGATGAATTGGAAAAGAAGAAGCACAAACAGAAGTGATCGAGCCACGACGTCCGGTGTTCCAGTGAATTTGTGCTATTTCTCGTCTACAAGTGCATACGTCCTCATATTATATTCTCAACATGCGTCCTTGACATAATATCGTCCAAGTGTCTGCATCAACACGTAGTCGTTCTTTTACGGGAATTAAAGTGAGAGAGTTAAGGAGAAAACTTTAAAAACTCTCTGTTGAGAAATATTCAAGAAATAGTTTAATAAACGTTTTATTTCTCTGTGTCGTTTTTGATCTGTGCGACTGAGCATGTTTATCCGAGGTTGTAATAATAATAGTAGTAAATGGGTAATGATAGGCGAAAAGAAAGGAAATGAGATTTGCTGTGCGTTAAATTATTGTTTATTCTTGATGAGATAATAGTCGTTTTCCCTCCGTAGGCGAATGGTAAATCGAATTAAGATGGAGAAAGGGTGATATATAAGAAATTGGGTGTGTATTATGATATATGTATCAAACACGAAAAAAAGGATCATGCGAGTAAAAGTCAAAGTGTTCTTGGAAAAGGAGTAAATGAAGGGAATACGGAAGATAGAGCAAAGAACGTCACCAATTCGTAGATTTCATCGGCATCCATCGGTCGTCGTGGCTAAGACAAAGGCATCCCAATCCTCCTCTTGTGAAGTTTTTCTTACCGCATAAATTTCATAAACAATAACATAAGAAACAAAAAAAAACCACTTACGCGTTAGACGGTATGCCCGAAGTCGCTGGACTACGCGAATCGGCTAATTGTCACCGGTCACATAAAAGAGTAAAAATATTGTAATCAAAACTTTCGACTTTTAAAAAAGTCAACAATCAACACAAAAAACTCATAGTTCGCAATGTCGATTCTGGTTACCGTTAATCTGATGACCCTGCGCCGTGTTTGCCATTTGTGGATGTGTTTGCGACGGTGGTGGCTGTGGTAATGTTCCCTGCAATACTGGCAAAACACCTTGCATTGCTTCTTGCGTTAAATGTCCGTTAACTCCTATAAATCCTTGCCCAGCGTTTGTCCCTGTGCCTATGTTATTTGGACTACTCTGGAGGGAGGAGATAGAATCAGTTAATAGTGAAGGAATCTTTAGGTTGCCTTGCGTAAGTGAGTTTAGCGTGGTTAATGTTCGGAGGAGGGTGGATTGGTCGAGTGCTTGAGACGAAGTACCGTTTAGTTGAGCTGAAGGAAGGTGGCGATAAAGGATAAATTGATAAATGTTAGTAATGTAAAATTGTTTAAGTTAGAATATATGGGGGTTTTGATCTTTATGAATTAACCTTAATTTTTGACGCTTAGATAACACTTGTACTAGTAAAGTACGACCCACCCGGTCATATATACACCTTTCCATTCTCGCTTAACCACTTTTTTGTTTCTTACCCTGTGAATTAGCACCAGAATTCGCACCAAGCATGGTACTCCCATCATTTCCACTTCTTAATCTTGGATCTCGCGCATTAACACCATCGATGATGTCACCTTCGGGAAAATAACGAGTTTTTATTCTTTGTAAAAGGTTATCTTCATAAATTCCATGTCGTTTGATCCAGATATCAAGAACTTTTTTAACCCTTTCCTGATTAGAGAAAAGAAAACGAGTTAGTTCGTGTGATAGAAGACTTTTTGTGACGTAACTGTGTAAGGCAAATAGACTAGTTTTGAGCAGGAAGTAATGGAGCTCGTGTTGAGAAATGAGACATGTAAAAATGCAAAACCGTTTGGAAAAATGAATTCATCCATATTCAATTATTGCTAAAATATCTACTACACAATATCTGTCCAAAATTCTCCAACCCGTAAAAAGCATGCATCTTTCAACTCTGTTAATAATGCTTAAAAAATTCATAGTTATGAGCCCAGGCCTAACACAATTAATATTCGCTCAATATCGAGCGGTATTTGTAAGTAAAATGAATCAAATAATCACGTAACGCGCGTAAAATAACGTTTGGGCAAGAATTAACATTATCCACGGTATTAAACAAGTTCTATGCCTTCTTATGTCCTTTTGCTATTCTCTCAGTCCACCTCACTATTTTTATGCCTCTCAAATCCCATACCTTGTCTCTTTCAGGACATTGCATAATATCAGCAAACAGGTCTTCCAGTCCTTTTTCAAACCTGTCCAAATACTCTACCGTCCATGTGGGTACATCCCCATTGTCGGTTTTCTGTCGGTGTGCTGCCTGAGTTATCGAATCGAGGACGTATAAACCACCGAGTTTGTATTCTGATGCACAGCGATGAATGAATTTCTGCACACAATGAGCGATTTGTTTGTATTCCTATATTATTGGCGAAAAAATGAGAGGTGAAGAGGAGGATGACAGATTAACATAAATAAGATTGTACATTAGGAGCAGTATCTGTTGGTTTATAAATGATCTGTAAATGAACATATGTCTTTTGACAGTATCCTTGAGTGAACCAATGTATCCTCTCTTCATTACCAAGCATGCAGCCGGTTCATAAGGGTCATAATATTTCTTTTATCAATTGCTCACACTCTCTACATGCACCCACTTTCGATTTCTCCCGCTTGCACCCCGCTTGCACACCTCTTGCTCTCTCCGCTCTCCCTGTCTTTCCCACCCTATACCTTTGGGCTATTGAGTGCGATCTTTGTTAATTCTTTTATCCTCGACGCACTTGTTCCAGGCGGCTTCTTTTCTAATAAACTATATAACAGCTTTTCGAACTCTGCCTGGTTTTTTGCAGACATTATTTGTATTATGCCGTGTATTAATGTGAGAAGTTTTGATGTAAGAGTTGTGTGCGTGAGAGGAGAAAACTCAGTAGTGATCGGATGGATTTTTGATTGGATAATGAGTGAAGTGGGGGTGATTACGTTGGGAAACCACGTGTTATATGTACTACTGTTATTACTCGCTTTCTATTTATTATAAACTTTATTCCCTGTTCATTACTATTCTATTTATCTCATCAATGATCTTGATATAAATATTAACAGTAGAAGAGTCTTTCTGGAAGGTTTTGGTCAGTGTTTACTATATTAATATGGGATATTGCTGCAACAATACCAACATCCGACCCGTTATACCGAGGAGAATTCGTTATAATGAGACGAGGTAGTAATCTTTTCTTTCAAAGCAGCACATTATACATGTATTAATATATTTCATGCACACTATTTGCCATAATGGTAGGCTAAAGCGAAGCAATTTCATTGGCTGACATACAAAATTGACCAATGTATTGCAAGAATCAGGTCACGTTATACTACGCTTTATCCTCGATTTTATTTTTTTTGCGACTATAACTATAAATAGTAAAATCAAAATCGTCAGGCAGTCCTAGAAAAGAAGTTGAGAGTTACACGCGGATCACATTAATCCGTGGGGAGGATTTTATATTATTATTATGAAATACTTCTCTATTTTACTTTAGAAACATTATGCATGCGAAGTCTTACGTTGACATTTTGCACAATCATAAGCAAGAAATCAACGCTTCCATCAAGATAACCCGAAGCATACAAGCCATGTTGCTCGGGCATTTCTTAGCGAAAAGTTTTCCGGAAATTCTGGACTGGGCCTCCAATAACCCTTAAATCCGGTCGAAAATCTTTGGGTTATTGTCAAAGAAATGTATAAATGCGTATGTAGAATTAGCAGCATGTGGCTGAAGAAGGGGATAGAATTCCGAATAGCAACTGTATCGGATCAATCAGGAGATGAGATATAATAATAATAGAAACAACGGTAAAAGAATATATTATAAAATTACAACACTTTGTCAAATTCCGAGAAATCAATGTTGCAGATTGAACAGCACATACTTACCTATATAATGCATTTAAGAAAATTGATCGAACTAATTTGTTCGTAATTCCTCCCATGCATTTTCTGTGCGATTTATATTTTCTAGCAACGTATTCCGTTAACTTACTTGTAACTCCGTGTCTATACAAATCCATATACTAATACCGCCACGTTTTTTTATGTGCGGCTTTTCTTTTAATAGGTCGAGGCATAGTAAAACAATAAAGAGTGTTAACACGAGAACAATAAATGGATAATGTAATGTTACACAAAACTGGAAATTTTCTTTTTCCTTAAGAAACTCAAGAAAACTGTTGCTTTTCAAATGCCTAAAACTCGAAACTTTTTAGTTGATTAAAAATTTTAAGCCGTAACTTTTATTCTGCTTTGTCTGCTCTATCATTCTTACGGATTAGTTTTTCTCTAAACCCTCTAATATAAAGCCTTAGGGTTTTGAAAGTTGGGTATTTTATTTCGGGCTATAGATGTCCTGCACCATAGTGTGCGCGAACCTTTCGAAACGAATCACCAATAAAACCACCGCATACTAAATTTGTTATTTAACGCTAAGTTTGAAAAATCTTAGCTTCCAATTATCTCACCATTCACAGCAATTATACTGTGACATTCGTGTTATCTTGTAAGCAACGATTGTTCAAGAACGGTTTCCATACGCCTATTCTTCGCCAAATCATAAGCGCACGACACACAATTTCGAATCAAGCCCACTCCTTTACTTCTCAATTAATAAATAGCTTTGCCCAAAAATAACCAACAAATTGTTCGCACTAATAGTAAATTTGTTAGTTTATCAAGAAAGACACCAATAAAAAGAAGTAAAAGTATGAAATAAAAATCAATTATAGTTTATTATCAACTCAAATACTACATCAAAGTTATAAATAAAAGACAATTGCGATTATTCACATCTTAAAGCTTCTTTGCTATCTATTATCCAACAACCCCATTATTACTGATTACTATTAAACAAAATGATTGCAACTCTCACGGCTATTATGTACATAGTTTCTATTGCGGACAAGACTTATAACAATAAGACCGTTCAAAAAGGCTCCGCCATATCAAGAATCAATGCAGAAGACGGATATCAGCTTTACAAATTTACCGCATACGCGTCCGAAAACAATCTAATAGAGGGAGACAATACATCATCTGAAACCACACAGCAACTTCAAGAGAACGGAGTGTACCAAATCTCAGGGAAATTTACGCCACATAAAGATAATTCTTTTAACGCTAATAACGACGAGCATTCGATTACACATAGACGAAGATTATATTCTCATTTCGAAACCAGTCGCACACTTAATCGGCAACACTACGAATAATGCTAACGGGTTACACACTACCGATACAAGTAAAACCATATTTGACAAAAGATCGTATACAATAATGTTGACTCACCCACTTAATGGCCGCTTAAAGAACGGCATTGTAAAACAAAAAAGAAATTCATTGGTTCATGTGACTGGAATTTTTTTTTTTATCTCTACCAAAGTCGAAAGTGACGCCACTATCAATATTTTGTGGGAAAATAATAACATCTTATTGGCCAAACTAGCGGAAAATTAGACATAGAACAAAGAATTGCACAAATTCGCCAATAACAACCTCTACAAGCACCATCTCCTTGCAACGCGCGTCGAAACAAAAATTAGCGATATTTTCTCGCTAATCAATCTTTAGAAAATGATATCATTACCGAAATAGACGCTCACATTAACACAAATAGCGAAGAAGTTGTTATCAGTGACAATGATAATGATATTGTCATTGAACAATCAAATACAAGAAAAAGACGTACAACTACGAATAAGAAACAGAAAACAAAATAAGTAAAAGTTTACTGATATTAGATATTACATTATTGTTAAAAAAAGACGCATATTTTATATACTCTTTTTTGTCTATGAGTTAAATCTTTAATGAATAAATGGTAGTAGGTCAATCAATTTCTCGTTTATCCCAAGCTTGGGAGTTAGTAATTATATGCACACCCTCTATATTCTGCATTGCACAGACATAAATGATGATCGAAAAATTGTTCAAGTTGCATTCTGTGTTCAAGGCGCTACTATCCACAAATGGATAACTAAACAAACAGTATACTTCTACAATGGTGGTCAACGAGCTTCCGAGAACGCAATTTGTTGTAGTTTATAGGAAGGACGACGATATAAGAGTTAAGTGGCATTTCGGATGAAAGGAATGCGGAACGATTGCTGGACATATTGATAGAAGCGATGGCGAGTATATCGTTGGTTATTAATATTTTGTCGGAAATACAAGAAAGGTTTTTGAATTGTGTTTATGTTGACCGTACTTGCTAATAATTTAATATTTATACAGTATGCAACAAAAAACTTAACTATTGCAGAAAATTGTCTACTACGCATGTTAAATAATAAAACATAAACTTATGCAAACTGAGCTATCAAAATGTCAATAAACGAAAGTTATATATTATTGGAATAAAGGTGTCCCAAGCTAGCAAGGGCCATAAAGCTACCAGTTTCAACCGTGCGATAATTTTTGACAGAGGAAATGGAATTCTATCTTCTTAAATAAAGTAGTAAATTAGTTACGTCGAGCGAATTAATTGATTAATTTTAAACTTTATTAATCATTACATTTTGTGCGGTATACGTGTATAATAAATTTAGCATACTGCTTTTAGCATGACAAGAATGATATACTGTAAAAGCGCCTCTTACCCTCGGGCGTAATATTAATACAGGTATATAAGATTCACCACACAGTATTTGAAGGTCATGTGAAAGAAAGAAAAAAACGATTTTGACGAACCAATAAGCAAAAAGATAAGTAATATGCCTAAGATTTGCACACATAGAACGAACATTCAGATAGTGTAGTAAAAAAATTTTTTAATTCAAACTATGTCGTTAGCATCAGGGGTTATTGATAACCCAACAATTGATAACTTGGTCCAATCCTCCTTGGAAGGTGAAAATAAATGCTCAAGACTTGAATGGATTCCTTGCTCGCAAATTGCTGACATAGAGCCAACTCAAACTAATAACGTTCATTACGCTATTCGCAAGAAAAAATATCATGATGACAAGATAATGTTACTATTACTTGGAAGTAGCGAAGAATGCACACCAACATTTGTGACTGAGTTCGCTAGAATATACTCACTTCCAACGCGCAAGGACAACGACGTCGTTAATCAGTTCAGAAGATACCCAAAATGGCTTTTCTTGCGCAACCGAGTTATAAAAGGGTTTACCAAGTATGACGGTAGTTATTACATGGTTGCTGATAAACGCTTTTACGACTGTTATTCTCGATATGGATTCTGCTCCGCATGTGGAATACTCCGATGTAGTCCTGTGTGGTGCATTTGCGGTCATAAAGAATTATCCAATGGATGGACTAGCAACAATAAGCAACTCGATGAGTTTATTAAGAAATCTCAATTACAAAC